GCTGCTCCCCCTTGTTGTTCCGTTGCTGCTGCTCCCCTTGTTGTTCCGTTGCTGCTAGTTCAAGCCTCCCTCCCTCCATGCCTGCCTTCTTCTCCTCTTCCCTCCCATCAGGACGTGTTGGCAGCATGTGAGGTGGTGAACTGCAGCGGTGTGGAGATCCAGTGCCAGGGCACGGCCCCCATGCTCGCAGTGGACAACACCAGCGGCTGCCAGCTGTACCTCGCTGCGTCAGCGCTGACAGCGTCGATCACCACCGCCAAGTCATCGGAGATCAACGTGCTCGTGCCCGGACCCGATGCCGACACACCCTGGGTAGGGAAGGGGGGATGGGTATGGGTGTTCAGGTTATGAGTGAAATGGATAGGGTTGGTGGGGGAACTGGGCAAGGATGGTGAAGGAAATCAGAGGGGAGTGGAGAAAGCAATGAGGGGAGGTGGAAGGGATGGGGAGAGTGGTGGCAACGAGCTAAGTCTGGTGATCTGGGTCGAATCTACTCTTCTCAGCGGCCATCCCACGGCCAAGTCATCGGAGATCAACGTGCTCGTCCTGGGGCCCGATGCCGACACGTCCTGGGTAGGATGGGAGGGAGGGGAAAGGGGTAGAGGGTGGTGAGGGAAATGGGGAGAAGTTGTGGAGAGGGATGGAAGAAGGTCTGCTAGGCTGCAAGCAAAGTGCTCTAGGCTGCCTGTGCCACATGGCGAACCACCTTCCCTGCCCTGCCTTCTCCCTCTCCCCTCCCACCCCTCGCATCTCCCCTCCCACCTCCCCTCGCATCTCCCCTCCCACCTCCCCTCGCATCTCCCCTCCCACCTCCCCTCGCATCTCCCCTCCCACCTCCCTTCGCATCTCCCTCCCGTTCCCTCCCCGTCTCTCCCCTCCCTTCTCCCCTCCCGTCTCCCCTCCCGTCTCCCCTCCTGTCTCCCTGCCATATCCCCTCCCTTATTGTCTCCCGTCTCCCCTCCCTTCTCCCCTCCCGTCTCCCTCCCTTCTCCCCTCCCGTCTCCCCTCCCGTCTCCCTGCCCATATCCCCTCCCTTCCCCCTCCCGTCTCCCCCCCCCCACCCTCGTGGCAGGTGCAGCATGCTCCACCAGAGCAGTGTGGAGTGAGCTGAAGAGCGTACCACGGACACCATATGTGCATGCCCTCTCACCACACACTCAACCACATGCAGCATGATGTGCTGCTAACCATTCTCCTCACCTCGCCTCCCCTCTCCTCCCCGCTCCACCCCTCTCCTCGCCCTCATCACCCCCCTCGTCACCCCCCTGCCAGGTGGAGCATGCGCTACCGGAGCAGTTTGTGAGTGAGCTCAAGAATGGCACCTTCGTCACCACACCCATTTCCCACTCTGGAGGCTAAGTGGCTGCGAGCTTAGGGGCTTGCAGTGGGGCTGCTGTTGCCTGTCTCGCATTTAGAGAGTATGAACTAGTACCAGATGTTGGAAACAACTGATTTAGGCGCCTCTGTCGTGTCGAAACACCAAGACAGAAGCGAAGCAGCTCGTATCGAAATATCGGTGAGTCAACCCTCGGAGGTTGAATAACTGTTGGAGGTTACACGAAAGTCAAAGGTCAGCGACCTTTGACCTGACAAATGCAGCGCGACAGCAAGGACAAACAACTGTCTCGATACTGAGCAGTTGCCCGAGTCGACACTGTATCGAACCGCACAGCAGCAACAATAAAACAGTTAACTGTATCTCTTCATATTCCTTTGTATTCTTATAAAAGCTTGTATCTCTTTTATTATCATTAACTTACTCTGCCCTCACATACAAGTGCAAGGTGGTTCACAATCATTTATTACCGTCATCGCCCGGATATAAGACAGTGTTGAATAGTAGACAGGGGTTGTCTACTATACGGGTGTCTCTTATAAACAGGCTAGCCTCATTATAAGACACCTATTTGTGTGTACGAGATAAGACATATATGTCTTATAATCGAAACTTCAATATATTATAGCGAAAGTTGAAATACCGCGAACATTTTTACCCTTGCGAAGCGCGAATTCTTCCACGCGCTGACCAGGACCTACCAAATTTGCCTCTGCAGGTGTTCTCCATGACGTGGCGTCCCGGGCAGTGGTTGCCGAAGTGGCACCTTCGCAACATCCACACTCATTATGAGGAATTCTTTTTCAAGAAGTACGGAAAATATTTCTAAGTAGTTTAAAAAGTTTCCATTTATAAGACTTATAAGACACCCTAAACCATCCCGTTTACAAGATAACTCAAGCATTTTTGCCCGTGTACGAGATAAGACATATATGTCTTATATCCGGGCGATGACGGTAAACGCTTCCGCTATTACATCATCCTACTCTTGAGTTCTGCCCTGCAAAGATCCTAAGGGCTTTCTCAGCCCAACATGGTATGAGAGCAGTCAGGGCAAATTCGACTACAAACAAGAAATCTACAACATCGCAAGAAATGGCAACACAGAAGGAGAGAAGCTCCTCTAACGGCTCTCCTGGCACTACTCCTACTCCACCTCCTGCCTCTGGCCTACAGACAGAGGAGGGTACAGCAACAAGACCAAGGGCATCGTCTTCGGAAACTCCCGCAAATCAAGCTGCGGCCTTTGATCCAGACATGATGGAGAAGTTCTTCTCCTTCATGTCATTCTACGAACAGCACCAGCAAGGGGCACCTGCACAGTCAAACAACAGCAACAACAACGCAACACCGATGAGCCTCGACGGTTCATCCTACGCACACGTGGAAACCAACAGCAACGGCCTACCTTTGCCCCGTATGAGCCCCAGCGTGGCTCCGTCAGCTTTCTGCCACACCCGCAGCCTGCATCCGGACAAGGAAAGACACTGGACGCACTTCAAGTGCAGTCGCAGTTCGCGCACGTCTTAATAACTACAGACGACAAGACCTTTCGACGGAAAGGATTTCTTTACCTGGTCATTCGAGTTCGAGTTAATGATGGAAGGCGCGCAGATCCTTGGCTTCTTCGATGGGTCCTTGCCATATCCAACACACGGCACACAGTACGACAAGCAGCAATACACGTATCAGTCAATGATGGCGTACACAATCCTGCTGAGAAATATCACTCCAAATCAGCGGCAGAACATACGGTCTTACTGGGGTTACGGCAACTCTGCAGAGCTCGCGTACAACCACCTTGAAGAAACCTGTATCAAGCAACAGACAGCGTAAACCAAAGTCGGCTAATGGCGCAACTAACAACAGTCGAGATGAAACCAGGCGAAAAGGGGATGGCGTATATCAGCCGTTGTCGCGAATTGCGCGACAAACTCCTCGATGCGGAGGGTCGATTTCAGAAGACGCCTTCGTCACAGTCATAATCGGCGGCCTTGGTCCTCAAGTGGCGCTCCACCCGCGCCATACTTCGAGCACATGGAAAGATATAAGAAGCAAACACTCTGCGCCGAAATCCATGCTGAGCAGCAAGACATGGACCTGCAAGAGGGAACGAAACAGGAAGAAGGCATCAGTGCCCGAATTTGCATTCCACACTCAACGACGCTACAACAACAAACAATTGGCATCAACCGAAATCAGTACCTCCGTTCTGTCACCTTTGCAAGATGTGTCAGGGCATCCTCGCTCACACTGCCCTAACCGACAACAATCAGCACCGACGCAGCGGCAGCTTCGGCCTCAAGCAGTCAAGTTACCTCAACGCAAGCAAGCTCGATCTCAACGACATCGGCGGGACAACCTGCGCAAGAAACAAGAAACATTGTCAGTTGCATGACACGACTGACCGATTCCTGCATCACCGAGTCTCCACCACATTACTCACCGGGAAGAACAACTCGACAACAGCACACCTCGTCGCGAGTCACTTCAACCAAACCCAACGTACGCAGCCATCGCTCAAAGCGAGCCATCCGGGAAGGATACGTGGTTCTTGGACAGCTGCTGTGGTCAGCATATGTGCTCTTCAGGACGTTTTGTTCAACGTGAACATCTACTTCAACGAGAAGTCATCATTACCGTCGCCAACAATCAGAACCTGCGCACACGACGACAAGGTGTAGTGCAACTTCAGTCACGAGAGACAAGTGTCATACTGCAGATGTCTAAAGTTTTGATAGCAGAAGGACTCGGTTACAACTTACTGAGTGTCAGTCAGCTAATGGCGAAGGGCATACACCTCGAGGCCAACAGCATCACTCAGGAGTTTAAGTTATACCACGGCAAGGGTGGTCTCTACATCGGAAAAGCAGTCTTGAAAAACAATGTCTTCGTCCTCGACTTCGTCCCAGATCTCGGCACCGCCGACACAGCGACGGGATCGTCACCTTCACCTCTTGGACACATCCACCGGATCTTGACCCCGACTTCAGTCCAGAAGGCTTCTGGTATTCGCACACCATCCCTGAAGCAGAACGAACACGAGCATTAGCGACAATTCAACACTCGGCAGCAGCAGAAATAACATCGGCAGTCAGCAGCAGAAACAACATCGGCAGCAGCAGAAAACAACATCGGCAGCAGCAGAAATAACATCGTCAGCAGCAGAAACAACATCGGCAGCAGCAGAAACAACATCGGCAGCAGCAGAAACAACATCGGCAGCAGCAGAACCATCGGCAATTCCAACAACACTTACAACACCAGTCGCAAGTTCTTCAACGTCGCCACACATCGATAATACTTCACCAACTCCTGCGCAGCAAGCTAACTCCCACTCCTCGCGAAGTTCACAGAAGCGCCAACTTCACCGCCGCCTTTTACTCCAACTCCGATCTGTATCGTCGTTCACCCGGACATCGCGCCAGCGAAGACATCTGGCACGCACGAATGGGACACCCAAGCAACACGGTGTTAAACAATACAATCCGAGCAGGCGTACTCGACAAGGATTCACTACTCCCTAACGGACGGAAGTGAACTTCGACGAGCACGAGGAACGTGCTTTACCTGCCCCGAAGCAGACTTACCACATCGGCCATTTACTTCGCACCACAACCCCAGCGCACCAGCTTATGCACCACTTGAGAAAGTTTACAGCGACATCTTGTACAACCGCGAACCTGGACAAGGAGCATACAGCTACACCATCACCTTCATCGATGCCGCCTACACGTTACGTTTGGCACCTTAATCTCCCGAGCAAGGACATGGCCTTCGAAGCCTTCATCGCTTGGCTCCCAGTAAGCAGAACGAGAATCAGGCGAGAGAAACTGAAAAGCTTTCAGTCAGACGGAGGAGGAGAATACACCTCACAGCGGTTCAAGCAGTTCTTGGCAGAAAAGGAATCAAAAGGCTCATCTCGCTTCCTTACGCCCATCAACAGCAAGGCGTGGCGGAACGGATGAACCGAACCCTCCAGAACACCATGCGCAAACTACTGCGTGGCATGCGACTGCCCAATCACCAGTGGCCTGAAGCGATGGACCACGCTGTCATGCTGCACAACTTGCTTACTTCGTCGTCATTACCGAACAACGCATCACCGCACCTGCTGTGGACAGGAAAACAGGGCAGCACAAAAATGTTAAGAGTTTTCGGCTGCATGGTACAGTACCGACCCCCATCTGCACGAGCCGGCCGATTTTCCCAATGAGCACAGTGGGGACTACACCTGGGCATCGAAAGAAATTACAACGCGTGGAAGATTTTCGACGTCCACTCCAAAGAAACAGTAGCAGCACGTGACGTCATTTTCTACGAACGATTCACCCTTCCGACATACCTTGCCAACCTGGAAGAAAATCGGGATCCCACAGGTGGCTTCCGTGGTGACCGACACTTCGCCTCGGTAGCAGACGAAGCTGACTGGGACGAGCAGAACGTGGATAACGCCTCGGAAGAAGCAGGACCACTCCCTTACTGTTCTGTGCCCCATCCCGATGGATGACGAAAATCCTCGCGAAAGTGTCAACGCCGAAACTTATTTCGACCTCGCCGACACTGGTTACGTTACACCTGCAAAAGTCAACACCAACGAAGCCCGAACGCATAGGGCCCAACTTCATACCTGACCCAGAAACAGGAGACGAAGCAGCTTATCCCGCGGACACAACACTCCCCCGCTACACACAGAGTGGCCTTCAGATACTTGGTCTCGTCACCGCGGTCCACGGCACGGATACACCTAAGGAGCCTGCCACGGTTCAGCAGGCTCTGGGGGGGGGAACATACGGAAAAATGGCGTGAAGCCATGGACAAGGAACTGAAAGCACTACAGGAGCGCAACACCTGGAAAGTGGTTCCTATCGGCGTGGCACGAAACAAGACAATACTCACCGGGAAGTGGGTCTTCCGTGTGAAGACAAAAGCAGATGGCACCATCGACAAGTTCAAGGCACGCTGGGTCGTACGCGGCTTCGACCAAGAGCACGGACGCGATTTCACTGAGACATTCGCACCG